GATATTAGGGTAATCAAATGTTTTGTATCCAAAGACAAAAAAGTATTTTAGAGCAGCCAGCGGTACAAACACAGCTTTTCCCTTCTTAAACCACAACATTTTCTTGGCATTGTATATCTACAAAAATAATAGTATTGGTAAATGTACATGAGATTCTCAGATGGTCTCCCACCTAGATCTAAACCAAATCCAGGCCTGCTTAGCTTCAGAACTAGATGCATTATAACCCAATAGACCACATGAGCTTGAGAATTCTTTAAAAACTAAAATACAAAGTAGTTTTTCATACTGTACCAACAAAAGACCAAATACCAACAAAAGACCATTCAGCCTACATTGTATTTCTGGCATCTAATCACTATAATACTCTGAATGATTTATTTGATAAAATTATCGAGACAGCAGCAGCATAAAGAGGGAAAATAATCTCCAGTGACATCCAACATACATTATTACTGCTGTGCATACCTTGAAAATGACCTCATATGAGTACCAAACATACATTCTTAAAGAATGCACAACTTTAATTTATCAACTGGAGAAAGGCATTATATTGCCATGCAAGTTCTACCCCATTTTTTAAGTGCGTTGCCACATCACAAGCATGCCTACAAGGCAGGGATGGGCAACTATGGCAACTTTACAACCTGTGGATTTCAACTCCAGAATTTGTAAGCCAGCCACCATGCCAGCCCACCCCTGCCACAAGGGATGGAGTTTACAACGTAATATCAAGAACCACTGCTCACATTCATTCACATTTATTCACATTCACATTTATTTAGGTAAAAATTCATAGCCTTCTTTCAACTTTCTGCACAAATACCAAGATAACAGTAAAAGAGAATATTTAATAATATAAAAGATGTGCCTCCTCCAAAGGTGCTTATACAGACCAAATGCCTTTTTTTTTAAAAAAAATGGTATTTTTAAAGATCTTATAAGGAAAAATACTCAGTTTTTATATCAGGTAATAGAAGGGTTTGCCAATGAGAAGTCATTATAAAGAAAATACTGCTATATACTTCATGAGCAACCACACCCACAAGATGTCATAATTTGACTGCAATTAGATGCAATTAAATTTCTTTTCACTGATCTAAAATTCAGCTATATTGGTATTAGGATAACATAATCTTTCAGGCTGAAACCCTTCTAGCTTTTACACTATTGTTCTGGTTTTCTGTATTACTAGGAGTGGGCATCTATACATTTCCACTGCTGTCAGGAAATTATTAGGAATTAATTATAGATACATAATTCTAAAAAGAACAGTAAGTGACATAGCAAAATAATTACAGACTGTTATATTTCTGTCAATCTCAGCTGTTAATTCCTGCAGAGAAATGTGATAGAACATGCATTGTCACAAACAAAATAAAAAGAAGAGTAATAAAGAGCAATGACAGAAAGATTACAATTCTAGTGTGCCAAAACAACTTCTGATATGAAATATAGCTTGAATTGATTAGAATAGTCATTTTACTGTTTATAAAACACTAATTTTAATAAATCATTCCAGCTAGAAAGGGAATGGATATCAATGTTCCTTCAAAAAATTCTCAGAAAGCACAAAGAAGTCTTTTCTCTGTTCTACAGTACACCACTACCACCTGCTGTTTATTTCAGCATCTTACACAAAGAAACAAATACCAGCAGTGCTTTTTTTGTAAAAAAAAAAAAAAAAAAAAAAAAGGTGCAGGAACTCACACACGTCATACAACCCGCCTTGCCTACCCTACAAGGTTCCATCCAAAAAAAGGTGCTGGAACTCCGTTCTGGGCGTTCTATGACAAAAAAAGCCCTGAGTACCAGTAATAGCTAGCTGCCCTCCAACTATTTTTATTAATTCAACTGCAGCAAACTATTAAAGTTCATTAAAGAAACAGATTTAAGCATGTCATTTTGCTTTATTTAAAAAAAAAAAAACCCAAAGGTCCATACAAAAATACAAATGTGAAAGATACAGGATGTATAATATCTTTTTAAAAGCAAGAAGCTTAGATCATCCCAAAAGAATAATCAAGAGTTAGCATCCTCTTACTGTAATTTTTTTTCCAATAGACACATTTTTCCACATTAGCACCTTTGAACAACAACAAAAAAATGCCGGAAGGTTCAACTTTAATATATGCATTCACACTGCAGTTATAATACCCTAATACACATAAATTAAAGTTCCAGTATCCATCACTTTTGTGCCATAGTGATATTATTTTTGTAACTATGTAGTTATTTTAATTTGTATTAGAATCTAGAAATTTAAATTTCTCTCTGCCTCATTAAAACATATATTTTTGCATTATCACAAAATGATTATGGGTTCTGGGAAGAAATAATTATTAATTTCAATGAGACGGTTTAATATTTTTGAATGGCCATCTTCCATTGACCTTCCACTGAATTACACAACTATTAAATGGAAATTGGTAATTGGACAAGAGAAAATTATTCTCCGCCCTTCTTGTTCCTAAAACACTAGTCCTTCAGCACTGGAAAAACAAAAGAAAAAATGTACTTTACTTAATGTAATTGCTGCTTAACATTTTCCATTTGTTGTTTTCCTTCATTTAGTTCAGTAAGCTATGGTTCTAATAGTTTCTACATGAGCCTCCAAAAAAATTACTGGCAAACTTTTGGAAAAGGGTTTTCCAAGCACTGATTAATGCATTTTCAATTTCCCTATATGATTTTAAAGTAAGATGTCCATTCACACCATCATCCTGTACTATACAGTATAACCAAACACTTTATCTTGTCTGGGCACTGGGAGCAGCTGGCATCTGCAGGTAGGCAGAGAGTGAAAAGGGCAGAGATTGTGAGGGGGAGGATAAGTAGATGGGGGGAGTCCCTTACCTTACAGAAGTTCAGGGCTGGGAGGGACCAAGCTACAAATGGCTCGGATCAGGGTGAATCCTTCCCTAACGACCTGTGGGATTCAGTTAAATACAACAACTGGGACTGCCAAAAGTGTTGTTGTTAAGTGATGCAATCACATGACACCACACTTTTATAACCATATCATTTAGCAATGGAAATTTTGGTCCTAATTACAGTTCTTAGCCAAGGACTACCTTTAGTCTAAATTTAAAGTTGAAAGAAGAAGCATATTATCCTGTACGATGCTGATGATACTATTCTAACAGACAAAAATGCAAAGGCGCTGCAAGGTTTATTAATAAAAGTCAAGGAGCATAATGAAAAAAATGGGACTAAGATTAAATATAAAGAAGACCAAACTATTGGCAAATATGGCAACCAGCTTTAGAATTTATAATTGAAACATCAATGTGATAGATAACTTCGGCCTTTTAGAATCAACCATCAACAATAAAGGAACAAGCTTTCAATTTTTAAATTTTGGTGTTGAAGAATATTTGTTCATAATGTCCAGTGATATCATCCAGTCTTTTTTTAACATCAACATTTTAATGGCATTCTGATTTAGTATTGTTATTTTATGATTTTATTGTGCACTGTTCAGAGTGAAGTTCTCTGAGGTGGGTGGCCTCCTAAGTACAATTTATAAATAAAATAAGACTCCTGAAACTACCATAGACAGGCAAGAAAACAAAACAAAAAAGGATTGCTGAACAATTCAACCCAGAGTCCCCACTAGAGGTTGAAATGACCAATCTCAAATTATCTAACACATTAGACCAGTGATGGTGAACCTTTTAGAGACTGAGTGCCCAAACTGTAACCCAAAACCCACTTATGCATCGTTGAGTGCCGGGTGGGTGTAGCCCATTGGGTGGGTGTGGCCCATTGGGTGGGCATGGCCAATTGGGTGAGCATGGCCCATTGGGTGGGCGTGGCTGCGGTGGTAACGGCAGACTGGGTGGGACTAAAAAGTTCAATCAATCAATTTCAACTTTGCAAGATTTTTTTTTTCCCGCAAGAAGTTGAAATTGACTGATTGAACCTTTTTTTTTTTTTTTTTTGCACACAAGTGGCGGAGGCCTAAAGCGAAAAGGTTTTATAAAACCCAGCTGAAGGCCTAGGACTGGGGCGATGGTGCACATGCCCACAGAGAGGACTCTGAGTGCCGCCTCTGACACCTGTGCCATAGATTCATCACCACTGCATTAGACAGTTCTCTAAAAAAAGACTGTTATAGCAAGAAAGGTAAAAGGAAAGAGAAGAGGACAACAGGAGTGATTAGACTCAATTACAGCAGCAATGGAAATATTCACGACTGGAAGACCTGAAAGACTAGGTTAGAATCAGATTGTCAGGAAGAAAATTTATCTATGTGGTTGCAAAGAGTCAACACCAACTTGATGACACATAATCAATCAATACCTATGTCACATAATTCCAACTTCAATTGTCATGAACTGTGACACTGATATTCAGATGTTCCATCACTAAATTCTGAAGGTTTCAAAAGCTACAGAAGGAGTTGAAGGCTGCAGGTGATCCACTCCTATCTTATTTGTTTTTTTGTTTGTTTGTATCCCACCTTTATTATTTTTACAAATAACTCAAGGCGGCAAACATATCCAACACACTTTCCTCCTCCTATTTTTCCCACAACAACCTTGTGAGGTAAGTTGGGCTGAAAGTGTGTGACTGGCCCAGGGTCACCCAGCTCGCTTTCATAGCTAAGGCGGGACTGGAACTCATGCTCTCCTGGTTTCTAGCCTGGTGCCTTAACCGCTAGAACAAACTGACACTCATATTGTTTGCGTTGAACTTTTTATCATGTAAACATGACAGTTAACTGACAGTAAAAACACAATTACTTAGGCAAAAATGAAGCATGGTACTGAAAAAAGAAATGTAACCACCAAATAGTAAGGACAAGCCATTAAGTACAAATGAAGCCATCTTAATAAGCTGATGTCCTATTAAATAACAAAGGCCAATCTACTACATCAGAAAAAATCAAGTCTCTCAAAAGATAAACTACAACCATGATCTATTTTAAAAATTACTCATTTTGAAAATATAAAGAACATCAGTCTAGCATTTATTATTACATCTCCAATTTTTACCTTTGTTTAGATGGTGTGCTAACCAAAGCAGACTCTTCTTTAAAGGAAAGTTTCCAGGATTCATCTGGTTTATAGTCACTTTGGCCCAATTCTTCCATGACCCAGTCACGTAAATCTTCTGGCATGTTACTCCAAGCTCTTTTTGAACTTGGTTCATCAAAATAGATTGACTAGATTTTCAGAAGAGAATATTGAAACATGTTTCACAATGTAAGTTTCCAGAAATAATCCTTACTTTGTTTAATAAATTCCACAATAACTCTAAATACTAGGTAGTCATGACTTATTCAACAAACCATCATTTAGTATAATATATGACCTGAGGTCTTGACACAGTAGCTCATCTCAGTTTCCAATTAATATACCTTTTGTTGCAAGTTTAAATCAGAAATTTATTCAAATGTATACAGGATATATATTTTACAAACTTCCCTATTAGGATACCTGAATCTCTTACAACTGTCATGACCATACTGTAATATCAATAAACTGAGGCATATTCAAAAACATGCAGCTCTGTCTGCTTTGATATTGCAGAAGTAAAATCTTTGGCTCATATCTTTTCATACTATGTGTCCTGAAACTCAAACTTTCCCTGATGAATCCTATGAATTCTGTGTTCAACATCTCTCATCAGATCAAGATTTAAGAAAAACTGCAGATGTTATTAAAATTACTGAAATAACCTCCAGAATATAACAGCAATTAATAGCCATGTAACCTCCTTATACTTCAGATTTGTTTTACAGTTGTTTGCAACAAGGTCATGCACAGCATCCTTGCTATCTTTCCTTGCCCTCAATTTTCTTTATGCATCTTATCATGTTTAACAGTGCTAAATCATATTTTAGTTCTTAATGTTAATACTATTTTGTTCTAAATTAGTGGTAATATCATCCTGTGATGTATTATTCAACTAAGCATCTAGAGTAAACCCAGGCATTGGTTTGGGACATTATTATGGGAGCTCTGACATGGGCAAATGAATCTAGTAGTTTTGCATTTTTATTGTGCCTCAAAGCAGTTTTAATTTATTTCTTTTAGCCTAATTCTCAAGGTGAAGGGATTGTTCATTACCCACAGTTTTTGAATAACAGGGCAGCCATATAAATTGGATTAATAAATAAAACAAACCTTAATCATTTCTCTCTTCCCATAAATAGAAATATGAAAAATACCAATTTTAAACTGTAGCAAAGAATTATATATTTACCATGTATGATGGAAGTGTTTTCAATATGCCTGATTCAGGTTTTTGTGTAAATGGTCCTTCCAGCACTCCTCGCTTTAGCATATGAAGAAGCAGTTTTGCATATAAGTTTCTATTCTTTCTACCAACAATTCCTGTACCAGCACCTGAAGGCTCACAAAGTTTTTTAATCCAAACAGCACATCTGTAACGTTCTGAAGAAGACAAAAGATAAAAATTACGAAATAAGCCTACTGCTTAAAATATTATGCAGAATATTATCCTTAAGTACCTAATAATACAAGAAACATTAAGATGCTGAGAGCCTGAATACATTTACTTCTAAATAAGGACTCTTTTTAAAAAAAAATCAAAGAAAATAGTGTGCTACACATTTTTAAATTAATTGGCAAAACAGGCAAAGGAAAATCTTCAAATTTGTAAAACATAATGCCTTAATCTCCTGACTCTAGAGCAGACCTGCAACTTGCAATCCACCTTATGGATTGTGCCACCTGCTGGCATTTTTGAAAATTTCAGTACATTCATCAAAGCTGCCATCCCAAAATACATGCTGCCAAGTGCCTCCAATGACTCACTGCTGCCACTCTGCTAACCAGCAAACAGTCAATCAGGACACCAGATATTCCTTTGCAGTCCACAATTATTTTTAATTTATCAATGTGGTTCTTCTAGTTCTGCAGACCTAAGATAATATCACTGAAATCCCTCCTACAATACAGATTACAGGTAATCCTCGACTTACAACAATTGAGCCCAACATTTATGTTGCTAAGCAAGACGTTTGTTGAGTTTTGCTCATTTTATGATCTTTCTTGCCACAGCTGTTAAGTGAATCACTGTACTTGTTAAGTTAGTAACACTTAACAGTTGTTAAGTAAATCTGGCTTCCCCATTGACTTTGCTTGCCAGAAAGTCATAAAAGCTGATAACATGATCCTGGGATACTGCAATGGTCATAAATATGAACCAATTGCCAAGCATCCCAATTTTGATCACGTGACCATGGGGAGGCTACAACAGTCGTGTGAAAAACAGATCATAAGACACTTTTTTCAGTGCTGTTATAACAAACTGAGGTAAGTCAAGGACTACCTGTAATTTAGAGGTTATATTTATTTTAATAATTAAATAACTATAAACTTTATATTGATACATGATATATTCCTATTGTTATTTTATACAAGGGGATAAACTACTAATAAAGTTTCCGTGACAAGATAATGTTTTTTTTTTAATTTTCTTCAGTTAAATTCAGGTTTCCTGATCAGGATGGCATCTTTAACTTACAAAATTTTTAGTTCTATCATTGGGTTTTTATTTTAATGTATCTATTCATGTGAAAAGAAAATAATTATTTCTGGGCTTGTTTAGATGGCTAAAGTGTGATTCCTTTGAAAATTAGACAAATTCTTATGTCACTTCAGTAAGCAATGAATGACTCTTTCAACATTCAAAGGAATTAGGCACAGGGAAGCAAATACATTTTGACCCCCACGAATTCATATGAGAAATTCACATTATAGACTAATACTAATATGAAATTGTGAGGAGGGAAATGTTTTATTGGAAATCCTGCACTAATCAAGAAATTAACATCTTAAATCAATTATAAACAATATCTATTAGAAGGAATTTTTTTAACACTAGTAAGAAAAAAAAGCAAATCTATTTCAAGGAGTCAAGTGTGTGTGAGAGAGACAAGAGAGAGACAGAGACAGAGAGAGACAGAGAAAGAGGAGAAACATAACCTTGGAGAACAGTATGGTAATTCAAGATGGGTGATGCTGAACTAGGCTCAAAAAGTATGGAATCTAAGTAGCATTATGGGAATAAACGCCACATTTTAAATCACTTTGGATCTTTAATAATCACTTGCTGCCTTTTGATGTTCATTTTATTGTGTTTCCCCGAAAATAAAACCAAAAGAGGCAACAAGTCTTATTTTTAGGGAATGTCTTACCCACTTACCTTAGGACCGCCACAGCCAGGCCTCCAGTCCCCAAGACCTGTCGCACTGCTGCTCGAATTATTCTGTGGCCACATGGTGCCTGGCACCGGTGCAGCTTGCAGCCGGACGCTATATGGTGCGTGGTGCCAGTGCCGCCACTTGTGGCAGGAGGTCGTGTGGTGCATGGTACTGGTGCCATTCCTCATGGCAGGAGGCCATGTGGCACATCACATCGGTGCCGCCGCTCCTGTCCGCCATGGTGCAATGCACCACGCAGCCTCCTGCCATGAGCAGCGGCACCAGCATGATGCTCCATGTGGAATGCGGCCGCAAGTGGCTGCAAAAGAACTCAGGCAGTAGCACGACAGGTGTCAGGATATGGGTGGCCTGGCTGCGGCGGACCTAAGGTAAGCAAGTGCAGGGTACACAGGGCAGCTCCACCCCCCAAACCAGCTTGATTTTTATGTGTGCGCCTCGCCCCATCTCGTACAACCAGGGCTTATTTTGGGGGGTAGGACTTATATTAGGGGCACTCATAAAAATCAAGCTAGGGCTTATTTTTAGGATAGGTCTTATTTTCCAGGAAACACGGTATGTTCAATATTTTTGGCATGTATCCCAATGATTGCAGGGCATCCGAGGAAAGAGTCGATTTATTTCTAATGCCTGTTTTCCACAAAGAACAGAAGTTATCTCTTGCTATCAGAGCAACTAAGGTGGCTAAATTAAATACTAATTTCAGCCAGTATCTAAAAATAACAATATAGATCTAACCTCCGTTCTTCCAATTCCATTCTTAAAGCTACAGTAGGAACGCATTGGGGAACATGCAAGATTGCTCTCAAGAATGCTGATTGCACCCTCTTTGCTGAAATATTCGCATATTTGTACATTGTATCATAATTGCTTCATTACTTTCCCTCAAATAGCAAAAGCATGGAAGGGATGCAATATCCTCCACTGGTGCAGAGAAAAGTCAAAATAGCTATAGTTACCTGTCATCTGTGATATTTAGATACAATCTAAATGAGCATTCTCTATCCAAGGGTGCAGTGTTCACATCCTATGCAGGCAAAGGTATTTTAGATTCAGAATGGACACCTTCTTAATAGCCGATGAATGCTTTTTAAAGCACCTTTTCCTGGGCTCACATGCTAACCACGGGGGCTCAGAAAAATATACATTTGAGTTAAGAATGTTAAGGGTCAGGCACAGAGCAGCAAAAGCAACACATGGTCAAATTCTGCTACTGCCTCCTTAATGACTTCTTAACTCAAACACATATTTTTCCAGAGCTGTGCAACTACCATGTGAGCTACAGAACAGTTGTGGTGCTTTTAAAGAACAGCCAACAAGTACAGAGAAGAGACTCCTTTGGATCTAAACATTGTACATCTCTAGTTTTTGTTACTGGCCTCTTCAAATAACAATCAGCTTCTTTTTGCTACATTTAACTACTACATCTTTTTCCTCTGAAGATTCTGGGAATTTAACAGTTTTTCCAAACAAAAAGTTGTTCTCTTTGTGTACCACTCTTTCAAGTTGAACTAAATAATAATTCCTTTTATTTACCGCAGATTTGCCAATGATTGCTCTCTATCCAACTGATCTCATCACTGCATTGAGCTCCTTAATTTTTATTCTTTCATTCTTATCTTTTATCCCATAAAATAAATTAAAAATAAAAATAAATTTAACTTAGGCAGGTTAGTGTTCTCCAAACTGTCTACCACATTATTTATATATCATATTTAAAAACTACCCATCTCCTCATAGACCAACTCTGGGCAGTGTACAAATAGACAAAATAATAATTTATATATAAAAACGATATATAATAAAAACAATTAAACATAGGAATAGTTAAAATTCAAGATTAAAAAGGTGGAGGAGGGGCTCCTGAGTATTAGCTAGTTCTCTGTGGGCCCCAAGCAAGTTAACAGAGCAAGGTCTTCAAGCATTTACAAAATATTAGGAGGGTTGGGCCTGCCTCATCTCTGGGGGGAGAAGGTTCCAAAGGGCAGGAGCCAATGGCAGAGGATGCTCTTTTCTTGGGCCCTGCCAATTGCAATTCTTTAACCGACTGGGTCTGCAGATACTTTCCTTGGCTGACTGGGTGGGATGGACCAATATAATGGGATAAAGACAGTTCCATTGGGAATCTGGTCCCATGCCACATAGGGCTTTAAAAATCATAAATACATCTTAAATTGGATCCAGACACAAACCAGTCCCCAATGCAGCTTGTGCAGCTGAGATGTTACATGCACTGTTCTTGGGGCACCCACAACAGCTCACACAGCCTCATTCTGTACTAGCTGAAGTTTATGGATACTTTTCAAGGATAACCCCATCTAGAGCACATTGCATTAGTCCAGATAGGAGATGACCAGAGTGTGAGTGACTGAGCAAAGAGCCTCCCTACCCAAGAATGGGTATAATTGGCACACAACATGAAGTTGAGCAAAGGCTCTCCTAGTCACGACTGTTATCTGCTCTTCGAGCAAGAGCCATGAGTCCAGGAGGGCCCCTAGATTACGCACCTGTCTGAGGTAAGGAAAAACCATCCAAGACCAAAGATGATAAACAGAGTACTCCTCACCCACCCACAACCACTCCACTTTACCAAAGTTCAGCTGAAGCATGTTGTTCCCTATCCAGATCCCCTTAACTCAGACACTGCAAAAGAACATCTATTTCACTCACTTCACCCAGGATGGAGGTATATATCAGCATTCTGATGACACTTCATCCAATGGTGATAGATGATCTCATTCAACAGTTACATGTCAAAAAGGAGGAGAGCGAGCATTGAGTCCTGCACACCTACAAAGTAGGGGCTGTGGAACTGCACCTCTCATCTCCTATCAAAACTAATTGGGACTGGTCTTGGAGAAAGGTAGTAGACCAGCAAAAGTCTGTGCCACCCACCCCCACTTCCCTAAGTTGGCCCAAAAGAATACTGTGGTCGACAGTAATGAAAAAAGCCACAGAAAGGTCAAGAGGAGCAAGGATGGATGTACCATCCCGCTCCTGCCAGATCTAACAGTGCAACCAATGCCAAGTCTGTACTATATCCAGGCCTGATTGCTGACTGAAAAGGAGTACAGATAATCCATTTTAATCAGAATTTTCTGGAGTTGCAGTTCCACCATCTTTTGACCACCTTCCTTGCTCTATCACTTTTTATAACTGCACTATATTTGAAATACCATATAAAACAAAGTGTTTTGTATGAACAAAGCATTTTTTTTAAAAAAAGCCTCCTTTATAAATTCTGTTTACAGTTTTCTTAAATAACGGTAAAGCAGTTCGTTTTTCATAGAGCGCATTGAAATCAAATTTGGAATTAATTTCTTGAAGTCCTTATCTCTCAGCTTATAACTGTTCAAAAGTCCATGGAAAAGCTAATAAATGATAAACTCCTTATAGAAAGCAAAAGGCTTTCAACTGAACCTGAAACCGCAACATTTGCATGTTAACATAGAGTACTTATATCTCTCACTCCATGTAAAAACTGCAGTTTTTATTTCTCTCTGCGGCTCTTTTTTTTTCATCTCCAATTTTCTCAGCCTGCTTTGTTCCTTTAAATCTGTAAACCTGGTTGATTTGAAGTAATATTATTTTTGTGCTTTCTTCCTAAATATCCCTTTTTGTCAGTAACTGAGTCATATGTTCCATGTTGGAGTTTCTATACTTCATATTCTATCATTAGTGCCACTTTGTTCATTGCCTAGAATTTGGCAATCATTTTGACCAGTATCATTTCATACTAATTTATTTTTTCTGTATAATAATATTTTATGAACTTCCTCTATTGTTTCTATTTTTTTTTTGCCCATTGCAAAATATATATTTCCTCAGACTTCCTTAGACCTGTAGTTCTTGTTTCCTCAGGTCTTCAGTCAGTATGTTCTTTTTAAAAAACAAACAAACACCCTGTTATTATTTCACATTACCATCACATGCAGCAACCAGTTTACTTGGTTAGAAGTGGCATAATTTCTTCTATATTTATTTTGAGACTAGACAAATACATTCTAAAATCTCACTGGCACTATCTCAAACTGACAAACTAAATTATCACTACTGAAATTAAAATTAAATTGAAGCTATCTTTCTCATAATTTCTAACTTGGCAGTGGAGTTATTCTATTCTGTCTCCCATTTACTCAGTACCAGCCAATTACGGACAATAAAAAAATTATTGGACAATAACATTATACGAAAACATAGTGAAAGATGAAGGTTGTTTTTCTTTACCAAAATTTTTCCTCTACCAATACATTTTTTTTATTTAAATATCGCAGGCAATCTCTTAGAGAATTTGAATACTTGACAGTATTGTAGTACTAGAACAGTTCAGTTACATCAGGTTCTTGCTAAAGCAAAGGGTATCATGGCAATTAATTTGGTTCCTCTCTCTTTCCAGGAGATACGATTAGTACTGTTTCCATAAACCTTTCTCTTTTTTTCTACAATGGCAGAAAATCTCTATCTGCTTTGAACAGTTTTTAGAGATACCTATGTGGATATCCCAAGATTAAAAGGAATGTGTGTGTGTGTGTGTGTGTGTGTGTGTGTGTGTGTATACACGCACCTTCACTAAAACACTGGACCTCTCACCATACCTGGAGCCAACGTCACATCATCAAAGAAAATATTTTCTAAATTATCAACTGAAAATTGAATTCTCTGTATCTCAAAAACATTTTATTCTATTTTTGTGTTTTGCACTGAAAATATAAAGGAAAAATTGTATATCTGCTAGCATGTAAGTTTCTTCCAAATCGTGTATTCCAGTAATTTTAAAAGTTAAATATTATTACTTACTTTACTTAGTTATGCTTTTATATAATGGAAAATGTGAAATGCATCAATTGTCTAATTATTTACCTGATTTATGAGGTAGTTTTAAAACATAAGACTTCATATCCACAACATAATGGTCAAATTCTGAATCCAATTTCTCCCATGCTTCTTCTTCACTGCTCATTGTGCTCAGTCAATAAACTATGTACAGATGTGTTATTCAAGATACTGAAAAAAATGTTCAGAAAGACAGGACCATATTATATCAAAAATATAGAATGCTATCACTGTATTCATAACTTTAAAAGGGCATCAAACATCACACAAAATATTTCTCCTCAGGAAATAAATATTTTTTGTCCTTCTCCCTTTATACCAGTGGTTCTCAACCTGTGGGTCGGGACCCCATTTGGGGTCGAACGACCATTTCACGGGGGTCGCCAAACAACACAGTCTGCCATTTTTTCCCCTTTTCCTTAGCTGTGCTACTCCCTTTTATTCTATTGGCTTTTGAAAGCCAATAGAATAGACTCTCTTGAATAGAGTCTAATTCTATTGGCTTTCAAAAGCCAATAGGAATTGTCCAGGCTGTCTCTGCCCTGCTGAGGCTGCCAAAAGTCCCATTCTGCAAACAGTGCTGCACCAGTTGAGTAGTCCTCGACTTACGACCGGGTGAGTAGTCTTCGACTTACGACCGGTTGGGGGGGGGTCGCGGCATTAAAAAGGTTGAGAACCACTGCTTTATACCTTTCAGAATAGGGAGAGAGAAAAGGAGGGATACAGAAAATACAATGAATCCACCAACAACATACCCTTAGTTCAGTGTTTCTCAACCTTGACAATTTTAAGGCATGTGGACTTCAACTCCCAGAATTCCACAGCCAGCAATGCTGGCTGTGGAATTCTGGGAGTTGAAGTCCACATGCCTTAAAATTGTCAAGGTTGAGAAACACTGCCTTAGTTGATCAGCAGATACTAAGCATGGCTGACAGTACAAACACCATAAATGTTTAATCCAGAATTATTTTATATTTTCAATAGAGCAAAACTCATAAAATATAGCATTCATAAATTAAAAGATAATTCATCTCTCCTAAAAGGAAGCACTCAACCTCGGCTCTTTTATGACTCATGGACTTCAACTCCCAGAATTCCTGAGCCAGCATAGCTGGGCTAGCTAGCTCTCTCCTGCCCTTCCTGCTTCCTGCAGAGACGCAGCAAAGGGAGGAGCTCCGCCCAATAAGCTTTTCAGCTCCTCGGAGAACACCGTGAGTGCACTCTCTTTTATACACACACACACACACAGAGAGAGAGAGAGAGAGACAGAGAGAGAGAGAGAGAGAGAGAGAGAGAGAGAGAGAGAGAGAGAGAAGCTGGGAAGCGCAAGTGCCTCTCTCTGTCTCTGTCTCTCTCTGCAAATGGCAGAGGAGGCTGGGAGCCACAGGGGAAGGCTCAAAGAGCCGCATGAGGCTCCGGAGCTGCAGGTTGCCGACCTGTGCCTAGGACATGCAACCATCATAAATACATGCCAGTTGCCAAGCATTTGAATTTTGATCATGTAATCACAGGGATTCTGCAACTGTTATAAATGTGAAAAATGGACATGAGTCATTTTTTTCACTTTCTTTGAATAGTCACTAAATCAGTGTTTCTCAACCTTGAGAATTTTAAAGCATGTGGACTTCAACTCCTAGAATTCCACAGCCAGCAATGCTGGCTGTGGAATTCTGGGAGTTGAAGTCCACATCCCTTAAAATTGTCAAGGTTGAGAAACACTGCACTAAATGAATTGTTGTAAGTTGAGGACTACTTGTATTAAATGCAGGACATTAACTCACACTGTTACACTTAAGATATTTTTGTGATGGTCTTCAAGTCCCCCACAGAACAGAATCTGAAGACGATTACAAAAATACCTAGATGTAACAAAAAGAAGTACTCATAAACTCATGGAAATTTTCTCTTTGGACCATTCCAGAGAATTTGCTTTCAGCAGTCCAATCAAAATATCACAAGTCTGTGTTACCTACAACACTTTCAAACACATTTCAATAGTACGTCAATGCTATTTTAATTATCAAATCATCACAAAAACCATGGAAATAAATCATTACCAGTCATTCCCAATCTGTAGTGAACCGAGCATAGAAAATGTGATCACAACCCCAAAAATTACTAATGCAATCTTAAATACAGTTAATCCTAATTCATAAGGAGCTTTTTTTCTCAGTATAAATATGTATAAGAGTTGTTTAGAATTTTCCAATCGTAGGGGGAGAAGCCACTGTTTCCAGCAAAAACGCTACAGCTATGATCCTCTTAGTTCTATGAAAATGCATGTAGCATAACTCTTTTAGTTCTGAATTATTTCATGCTCACTCAAAAGTTTGTACCTCTAGCTGGGTTTGTACTATAACCTCCCCCATGACTCAGTAAATCAGGATGTGTGCATGTGTGTGTGTTCACAACCCACTGAACCACATCCAATTATAGTTCACATAGGCTGAAATGTGTTCGGCTAATTTGTGGTTCAGTACGCCAAATCACTCAGACCCACTAAGTTCGCGGGATAGCAATACCGAACCTCAGTCATGTGCGCATTTCCTCACACGGGAAACCTGCAATCTTTGGCTCTTCACCCCACCTTCCTGACAATATAGCCCCGTTTACCTCACGCAGTCCACGATTTCGGAGGCGTTGGGCACCAGCTTCCCACGGAGGGAAGGAATTAGCACAAACACTTCACTCAGGGATGAAATTGCCAAGAGGTCCAAAGGAGTGGGACGGAAAAGGGGAACCGAACTGTCTCGGAGCCTCCCAAACCCTCGCTACCGACACGGCTACGCCTCCTCCTCCTCCCGCTGCGAGGGGGATACATGAGACTGGGAAAAGCCCCGCGCCTCCAAAGGCTGCGCTTCAGGCCTGAAGAGGAAATCCAGGAGGGACGCAACCGCTGCTAGGAGCCCATCCAAACGCTCTCTCTTTCTCAGTGAGGAAGTGGCGAGCAGACCCAAATGATTTCCGCTTCCGGTGAAAAGCTTGGCGGGCGGTTGCCACGCAACGCGGAGTTTGTGAGTCTTCCGGGAACGTTAGACTTCGGTATTGGAGGGGCGGACTTGGAGGTCAAAAAAGCTGGTGGGGTTATTTTTCCTGGAGGGGGAAAATGAAGAAAGCAAAGCGGAGGAAAGCTGCTGTCTTCTGGAAATAAAGACAAAAGCTCGGGTTTGGCCTCACCCTCCTTAGTAAAGATGAGCCTCCGGGGCTTTGCAGTAAGTACAAGTAGTCCTCGACTTACGACCACAACTGAACCCAAAATTTGTGTTGCTGAGAATTTTTTTCAGTGAGTTTTGCCCCATTTTACGATTTTTCTTGCCACGTTTCTTAGGTGAATCCCTGCAGTTGTTAAATCAGTAACATGGTTGTTAAGTGAATCTGGCTTCCCCATTGAATTTGCTTGTCAGAAGGTCGCAAAAGGGGGTCACATGACCACAGAACACAATGGTCATAAATATGAGCCAGTTGCCAAGCATTCTAATCGTGATCATGTGATCCTGGGGATGCTGTGGGTCATAAGTGTGAAAAATGGTCATAAATCACTTTTATCATTGCCATTGTAACTTCAAACAATCATTAAATGAACTGTTATAAGTCAAGGACTATCTGTATAATTTTTTATAAGGTGGTGGGTTCTGGTTTTAGTGTCCTCCAGGAGTGTCGGGAATGGTGAAAGGACTGATGGCTTCAACCATGTTTTTGCACCAGTATGGATGCACCCTTTTCGGATGTGGATGCAGCTTCAGGGAAACTTAGGATCTTCTGTCTTGGTTTACTGCATTAAAAGTAAAGAAACAGCCTTAAAAGAGAGGGACAAAAGCTTCATTGCCAGAGCCAAAGGAAGCGTTGCAGCAACAACATTAATGGACTTAATCCATTCCCTACAATAAATTACAGGTGGAAATAAGCTTTTTAGTGAGAACCCCTGCTTTAAAGAATCCGGTGAAGTACCCAGTTGGTGTTCACACTGCCAAATCTGTATCAATTGGTGAGGTAAATATAAGATACAGCTATATTTGTCTAGAGCAGGGGTAGAGAACCTTGGCTCTTTTATGACTTGTGGACTTCAATACCCAGAATTCCTGAACCAGCTGATTCAGGAATTCTGGGAGTTGAAGTCCACAAGTCATAAAAGAGCCAAGGTTCCCTACCCTTGGTCTAGACCAGGGGTAGGCAACCTTGGCTCTTTTATGACTCGTGGACTTCAACTCCCAGCATTCCTGAGCCAGCATAGCTGGCTCAGGAATGCTGGGAGTTGAAGTCCACGAGTCATAAAAGAGCCAAGGTTGCCTACCCCTGGTCTAGACAAACAGCATATATGAACCTTTTTTATAATGACGCAGGCAACCAGAAATTGATTTTCTGTTTATAATTATTAATTCTAATCTTAAACTAATCTTAAACTGCCAGTATGATCCTGGAGAAAATACAGAGTACTTGTTGCAGCCCACAAAAGCTTAAATGACTTAACTCTGGATTATTTTGGGAGATAAAATGATAGAAGAGAATTCCTCTGGGGCAGAGGTCCTCAACCTATGGTCTACAGCCCACTACTGGGCCATGGGCTCTTGGCTACCGGGTTGCGTGAGTGGGTATCCAGTGCACGTGCACATGTGCATGTGCTGGCACTAGCTGAGCCATGAGCTGCATGCTAGTGCTAGCTGAGCTGTGAGCTTCTCACCGGCACTAGCCGAGCCCAAAGCCGCATGCCAGCGCTAGCTGAACCACATGCCTCTTGCCAGTGCTAGCTGAGCCACAAGCCTCTCCCCAGCACTAACCAAGCCGTGCACCAATGCTAGCTGAGCCACGCGCCTCGCTAGCTGCCCCATTTGCGGAGTGCACATGCTCACAACCCCATTTGCGTGTATGCGCATGCAGTCACATTTGCATGTGTGCACATGCGTGCATAAAGGTGCCTGTCCCTCCCTTTCCCACCAGGCCGCCAACCCAGAAAGGTTGGCGACCCCTGCTCTGGGGGGAAAAAAGAACAAACACAACTAAACACATGTAAGAGTTCATATTAGAAATTACATCATGTTTATAAGAGACAAAAGGCAATTATTATTTGGCTGTTGTCATATCCTCAAATAACTGACAGGCAGTTCTGATTATTCCGACTAGAAGGTCCTGTCAAGCTGCCCAAGGCATAATCTTGCCCTGTTTAGGATTGGAAGTTTTGTATGATTTCTGAGGAAGAATACTTGCAATTCTTAGTCTGACCATTATTAGATCTATATCCTTCCCTGGTTAGTTAAGGCCTCCCATAAAGTAATGTATACCATTAGATGAATCCATGTGGCCATAAATTCATCCTTGAGAAAAGATGTGTATCCTCTCTTCAAAGTCATCACTAGAACTAAGTGGTTCTGTACAATTTTCTCCAATCTTCCCTTTTTTTGGGTAACATTGTTGAGGAAGAGACAGCATTAAATTCACTTGTTGATAATCTGGTTCTCCTTAGTCCAGTGGTTCTCAACCTTTTTAATGCCGTGACCCCCAACCAGTCGTAAGTCGAGGACTAAGCCGGTCATAAGTCGAGGACTACCCAACCGGTTGTAAGTCAAGGACTTTCCCTGCCCGGGAGCGCCGCGCATGCGTGGGGCTGCCCCCTGCACTGGCCAAGGCGTAACTGGCAAGCGGCAGAGACGGAGCAGGCCGACCACCAGCTGGGCCACCAGCTGGCCCAGCCCAAGGGAGGTAAGGCACCCGCCGGAAAAGGGGAAAAAAATGGCGGACAGTCTTGCTTGGTGACCCCCGTGAAATGGTCGATCGACCCCAAATGGGGTCGCGACCCATAAGTTGAGAACCGCTGCCTTAGTCTCTCAGTAGCTTTTGATACCATCAATTATCACTAATATGTCTGCTATGTCAGCTGCATAGGTTGCCAGTGAGCTTCTGATTTCACTCCAAGATATTGGTCATCAAATATAAAAACCTTCAAAGCATAGGGCCTGACTATCCGAGGGATTGCCTCTTTCTCATCATTTCTCCTTGACCCATAAGATCCAACACCGCAGATATGCTTGACTTCTGTTCTAATGACTGAAATTATTTGATGGATCTAGGGAGCAGGACTTCTCTGTCACAGCACTTATCCCTTTGAATAGCCTTCCTCCAGAGGTTTGGACAATATCTGAAAGGCTGATTTTTTTTCCCCCTTATGTGACAAGCAGGATGTGTTTTAGTTAGTATATATTTGTTTTTCCCACTATGTTTTCCACTTATTTTATCATTTTTAAGTTTGTATCTGTTTTTAATGTGGGCCAGAGTCAATGTTGAGCTGGACAGCCTTATGCATCTTAATTATAAATAAATACGCTTATGTTTAAAAGATACTAGCTCAGTATGATCCTAACTGCTTGTTAAGATCAATACAAGAAAGCACCTTTTCTTGCAAATCCTAGTTTTGCCTGATTATGAATTGAGGAATTGACCTTGTAGGTGCTCAAGACCCTGGAACGTCCCATCAGGCACACAGAGGTTAACAATGTTGTCAATTAACTATATTTCAAGTGCCTTGAAATTTTCATAATTGGGGTATATGCATGTTTTATTAAATCAAAGCTAGAAAAGTGTCGGGGTATTTTATGCATCATAGAACAAAACAATCTAATAGTTTTAGACTAATTTACAAAGCAAAATATTAAAATAATAAGAATCCCATCAAAGTAAACAATAGTGCATTATTGTTTGCCTTATATTTGATAAAAGAGCATTAATTGTACATATACTGGGTACATGTATTCAGAAAAGTAATATGATGGACAAAAATATCAGGAGAATATGCAATTTAAGTGTAAGTATGTCATTGATTGAAAGTATATGTTTGTATTTCAAATAGCTGTGATCCTGAAGAAAATTGAATTCTCCATTTATAAGCACTCCTTTTTTGATACCTCATGGAGGACAGGGAGATATCTTCAGTTAGTTGCTACATGGAGTCATGTTTGCTGGATCTTTTGTCCAAATGGATGCCCACCAGCTACGTTCTGTATAAAATAAGTTACACATTTATATAGTCAAGATCCTTATTTAGTAAACACACAATCTAGCTCTAGGAAAGCTCCTCTGTTTACATGGTTGTTTCTTCAACATCTGATTTGTGGGGGAGTGGGAGAGCCATCCTGTATTTATGAAATCCATCTAGAAACCGGGTATGATTACTATAAAAACTATATTAATTTCTCATATCCTTTTCCCTCCAATGCAGGAAAACTTTATTCTTACTATATTGGTGCAATACGAAGTAAGTGCAACAGTATTTGGAAATGATGTTCCTATAACATCACAACCACTGTGGAAGGGATGGGAAGCTCCTCACATCCGCAGATTAAGCGGTCAAAACTCAGGCAAAAGTATCTTATATACTCAGTGGCTTCAAAGATGTTTAGGCATAAATCTCATGTAATCTCTATGAGGGAGATGGGCAGTTTCAAAATGGGATGGATGGATGGAATTTGATTTTCATTCTCTATTAGGCATTTTTGCCCCATACCATTCTTGGAAGCTCTGGATGTTTCCATTAATTTTATGTTTCCCACAATGCCAACCAAATTAATGTAGAAAAAGTTGTATCATCTGTTCTCGTGTTAATCAAAAAAAAAAAAAGAACATATTCATACCTTCAAAACAGTCAGGGATTGAAAGTTGGCCATCTATGCATTGAGCTGGTGTTTCATAACTGCACTTCTCTGTTTTTCTTACACAGAAAAACCAGATTGTCTCAGCATGTTGTATACTGTTAAGTTCTTTCACTTTTATTTTCTGTCCATTGTATAACACTGTTGCTCTTGTAAGTGATATTTTACATGGTGCTACGGGAAGAGGAAGAAGGAACATAAAAAGCATAGTTTGAAAAAAATCATTGGTCAACAATCATATAATGTCTGACTCCTTTATTTAACCGGTGATTTTCTAAATTAAGTAAAAATGGTCAAATGCAGGTTATTCAACTTAATTGTGTTTTTTCCACAGCAACCTCTATTTAAAAATTTCCTTTATATATCTTCTGCCTCACCCAAAAGACTTTACCCTTTTTTAAATATTATGTGTGTTCCAAAGCAGCTAGTCATATAAGTATACCTTTACATGTTATACGTGAAAGATTCATACTTTAAAATGACTGAGACAAATGGGGGGGGGAATTAAGTTGCTATACTTAAAGGAGATGGGAACACATTTCTCACAGCTATGTTGGCTACATTTGAAAACTATTTAGAAGCTCCAACTTATGCAGAAAGTAGCAGCCTAGGTGCCAATAGGTAAGGGTCATCACACCCAAATTAAACAAATAATGTAAACACTGCAGTTCAAAGGTTGGTTTTGATTGTTATTATTTTAAGTTCTAAGTGGTTTTGGCTCTGAGGTACTTCCAAGATCACCTTCTCCAGGTAAAACTAATCCACCTGGTACAGTTGCCCTGGATGAGAATGGTGATGGGTTCCACTCCAATGAAGTGAGACTGGTGGGGAAACCCAGGGTTGGCAATATTTCAGTTGGGGTCCTCATCCTATGAACTAGCATTTTTCTCGAGGTAGCCAGTGATAACTTAAGCATCGTTTTGAAAGAGTGTAAAAATGGAGTGATTTTCCACAGCCTTTGAAAGCCAACATTGCCTTAATCCAGTGCTTCTCAAATAGTGGGGCGCGCCCCCCAGGGGGGGCGCGAGGCTCCGTAAAGGGGGGCTCGTTTGACCTCGGCAAATACTGTCATTGGATTTCTAGATCGGATCAGTAGCAGCCCGACGCGGAGGACAACATGACCACCAACGCACGTGACACATGCAAAGGACCCGATTGGATAGACATGATGCTCTATCCTGATTGGCCAAACCCGCCTGTGTGACTTTTAGACCCGGAAATGATACTATTTACAGTCGCGTGGGGGGGCGCGAAATGTTTTCTTCTTCCTAGGGGGGAATGACAGAAAATAATTGAGAAGCACTGCCTTAATCTGTGCTGTTTGATTATTATAATGTTCACTGTAGGTGACTTGATTTTTTCTTTTTTTGTATTGTGCTTTCATTCATTCTTGCATTCATTCATTCATTCAATTTCTATAGCTGCCCAACTCTACTGACACTGGGCGGCTTACAATTCTAAAATTATAAAACAAAACAAAAAGACATCCGCAAAGTAAATTATTAGAAACAGCATCCCTGATGATTAATCACCTAATAGTAAAGCCATGTAACGGGGCCTTTCACACATCCCCTGCTCCAGGCCCAGACATATAGCCAAGCTTTAAAAGCTTTGTGAAAAGCCCACTAGGTTGGGTTCATTCTGTTCTCTGAGGGGAGAATATTCCATAAGGCAAGGGCTACAGTGGGAAAAGGCTCTCTTCTAGTTCCTGTCAGTCTGAACTCTTCGGCTGATGGGATTTGCAGTATGTCCAATCTGTTGGCTCAGGCTGGATGGGTAGAAATATTTGGAAAAAAATGCCCCTCCCCTTCTCAGGCACCTATAGATTCTGTTTCGTGTTTTTATATTTGCAAGCCATCAGGGATCTGTGGATTCTGATGGAAAATAAATAGTAAATAACTAAACATGTTTTTATACTGTCAGAAAAAACTTAATTTTTTAAAGCTTCCTATAGCTTTAAATCCACTATTACATATTCTGCACTCAATAATAAAATGGAACAAGTTTGACTTTCTTCTGTGTGGCATCCTTTAAGAAGCCTTAGTCTTCTCAAGGCTGAACATGCCCAGTTCTTTCATTCTCTCTTTGCCCAATTTAATTTCTAGTCCTTTGATGTCACCCTTTTACTTCTTCAAACTTGTCCTGTATCTATTCTAAAAGTGATGCTCAGAAATGGTACTTAAGTCTGACCACAGTAGAATAAAGCCAAATCAAATGACTAAAGTATCTAAAAATTACTTATAATAAATACATTAAAAATTGCTTTTCTAGCCTTATCATTCTACTAACTCGTATTCAATATACAGTCAATGCTGTTCCAATGTCTTTTAAATAAAAATGATTACCAAGCCAGATACTTCTATCTCTATTTCTATGCATTTGATTTTACTTCCTAAGTGAAGTTTTTTTTACTAATCTGCTAAATTCAGTTATGTAACTTTCACCTCAGTTTTTCTACTTATCAAGATCATGTGAAATTTATTTCTCTCTTCTAATATATTAGCTATACTTCCCATTTTGTGTCATTTGTAGATTTAGTAAACATTCTGTGTCCCTCTTCATCATTTGTGAATTCAGATATTATGGATTGTTAAATAAACTGTCTTAACCATTATGAACATTCATATACATTGTTAAGATTTTTTTTAACAAAATCAAGATATTTTGAACAAATACAATACATGCTGTTTTACCTTTGCAAGTTGGTTTATTTGACCAAGTTCCTGTTTTCTCACACCTTGATTCTGAAGCATCATCCATAATATAAGGTAGATTACAACCATAACTCACAGTATCTTGGTAATGAAAAATATTACGAAGAGCTCCGTTTATGAATCCATGTTCTATTGGTTCTGGAGGAGGACATTCTACAGCTGTTAAGAAAAAAAGAGAAAATGGGAAATCCAGGGCTTGCATTTTGGGCTAATTTGTATTTCCTGCTTGTCCCAGTGTAAGGAACATGTACTGTTTTGGACAGTAAGAACAGAAGGTGTCATCCTCAGCCCACTCCTTTCTTGCTGAGAGCAAAGCCTTCACCCAAATTTTCTTGTAGGGTATCCAAAGTGTTCTCTTCCCGCTGATGACCCACGCAGGGAGTCCAGACAGGGCAGCTGTCCATCACTTTGATCAAAGCGGAGGAGAGAGTTGAAATCTGGAGAAGCAGTTTTTACATGACATTTTTGTCCAGCTGCTTTATGTACTGGAGGCAAGTAGTTGAAGGTTACCAATAGAAAAGTCCTTTATGTCCTGACTGCAAAGTCGATCGAGCCCCAGTCAAAGAATTCCTACTAGGTGATGGTTGGGAGACCATTCAGAGGCAACATACCTAATTTTACTTTAAGCCAGCTTTCTCCAATGTGGTTCTCTCAAGATATTTTGCCAATACCCCAAAATTCCCATCAACAATACTATTTTATAGGACTTACATTTGCATTCAGGTAATGCACTCCAACTTCCATCAGCCTGACAGGTAGCTGTTTCACTTCCAAACAGTGCAAAAGGTAACAGACATCTAAATCTGATTGTGTCTTGGAAAATAAATGTATCTCTAGAATCAATTTTATGGTAAGAGAGAACTCCAAATTCAGAAACTGGAGGTGGAGGGCAAATCACAGCTAGAAAAACAAAGCAAATCTGTTTAACATAACGCCCCTCCCCAAAATGCTAAAAATCACACATAAACTTTTCCCTATGGAATTCATTATATATGAGGGCAATTCGGAAATAAACCTCTGTTTGGTTATCAATGACAGATATTCGCAGATACAGAACTTTTATTATACACATTAGAAAACTACAACATTACATTACTTTTTGACATAATCGCCATTCAAATTGAGGCACTTGCCATAATGTCTTACAAGGCTTGAAACTCCTTAGTAGACGCTCGGCACCAAATTTGGGCAAGGGGTGTATGATTAAAAACATCCCATCAGAACTGCTTCAAAAGTTCTTTGGTGTGTCTAGCAGTGTGCGGGCAAGCAATATCGTGAACCAACACCACACCAGAAGTCAGCATGTACCAATGCTTGTTATGGATGGCTCGTCTGAGTTTTCGTTATGTTTCACAGTAGACTTCTGAATTGATGGTCGAACCACGCTCCATGAACTTCACTAGCAGTACTCCTTTGGCATCTTCACATTTGGCGGGATTTCTATGGTACCACTTCCAATGTGGTGTTAGTTCATGATAATGCTCGCCTACACACCACTATATGTAACATTTCCTCAATCTTTATTTCAAGTTGTATTTTTCTATTTTTTTTTATTTTATGTACTGAAGTCCATCCACTGCTTCTCATTAATTATGTGAATAAGATTTGCCTATGTAGCTATTCAGGAATAAATCTGGATGAAAAATGCACAAGGCAGATTTGAACATTGTGCTGAGCTACGATTACCACACCTGGGCTACAAAATAATTGGATGACCATTACAGGTAGTCTTTGACTTACAACCATTTGTTTAGTGACCATTTGAAATCACATCAGCACTGAAAAAAGTGACTTATGACCGGTTTTCACACTTAATGACTGTTACAGTATCCCCATGGTCACATTATCAAAATTTGGGTGCTTGGCAACTGGATATATTTATGGGAGATGCATTGACTCGGTCTCATGTGATTATCATTTGTAACCTTCCCAGCTGTCTTCTAACAAGTAAAGTCAATGAGGGAAGCCAGGTTCACTTAGTGACTGAATGATTCACTTAACAATTGAGACAAGGTCATAAAATTGAGCAAAATTCTCATCAATTGTCCTGCTTAGCAATAGAAATTTTGGGCTCAATTGTGTTCATAAGTCAAGGGCTACCTATAGATGGCAGCCAACAAGACATGTAAGAAATTCGCTCTCTTTGTTGCCCCTCATGGTCATTTCAAGTTTTGCAAGGCAGGTATAGAAAGCCTAGCCAAGCCATAAATGTAGTTTCCTGGTTTGGGCTTATTTCCAACATTTTTCAATATTATAGCTCTCCCTCAGGAATGTTTCTGATTGAAATCATTTTAAAAGAAATTTCCTATTTCAATTGTCCTTCCATCTAAAGGTTTGCACGTTGAAAAAAGTTAAGTACCTGGATAAATTCACTATTCCAATTAGTGAGACGGTCGGTGCATTTCTTTGTATGTATATTAATATCTTCTGATACTTACGTTGGCATTCAGGCAGGCTTGCACTCCAGCTCCCATCTGCCTGGCATTGACTGCTTGTTGGTCCTTCAAGAACAAACCTGAGGATAAGATACTTTCATGAAAATAGTTCTGAAAATGGTTACATCTTGCTTGATAAACATCTTCTAATAGGAAAGCAGTAACAATACAGTACTTAACAACATTCATTTGGTAACCGTTCGAAGTTACAACGGCACTGAGAAAAATGATGCATGACCATTTTTCACATGACCTTTGCAGCATCCCCCTGGTTACATGATCAAAATTCAGGCTCTTGACAACTGGCTTATATTTATGACAATTGCACTGTCCCAGGGTCATGTGATCACCATTTGCAACCTTCCCAGTCAGCTTCCAACAAGCAAGGTCAATGGGGGAAGCCAGATTAGTTTAAGAATCACATGACTCCCCTAATAACTGCAGTAATTCATTTATCAACTGTGGCAGAGAAAGGTCATAAAATGAGGCGTAACTCATTTAACAACTGCCTTGCTTAGCAGTGGAAATTTTGGGCTCAATTGTAAGTCGAGGACTACCTGTAATGACCAGGGAGCATTTATTGCATTCCACTCTAACATATTTTGTTTGGTTTGGCTTCCTGCCTTATATAAATTCAACCACCATGGTTTCCAAAACATGATTTGTGAATTATACTGATATGTCAACCCAGCCATTGGGATTTATTCAACAAAGTGAATGGAAAAGAAATCATGGATTAGCACAATGTATGAATCTTGCTAAATTGTTGGGATTCTCTTTTGAACATCTGGAACAAATATCTTTTAACTGAGTCAATTAGGAGGTTTCTATGTTGTGGAAACCACAATGGAAGGTGTCAATTGACTCAATCACCCCATTCATTGAAGGGTTAAATTTACCCCCCCCCCCAATGATTTAAACTGGTACAAAGTCCAACTAACACCACTCACATAGTTATGGCTGGGGACAACGTTGCTTACCTACCTAGTTTTTTAGAAAAAGAAAGGGAAAAAAGTTCCTAGACCAAAAAAAGGGGGGGGGAGCCTCTTATTATAGAAGTGGTAGCAAACTTGACAGACTGCAGCAACTGAGTCACACTTGCTTGTTACCTGTCTGGTCAACAGAGAAGAGACAAGTATGTCCTCTTGCTTTGCCTTGGTGCGAGGCCTCATGAAACCCAGGGACTTTCTGGAGAAGGTGGGCAAGGCTTTATGAATGGGAAGCCTAGTGAATGTGGTTGTCTGCTTCCAGACTCACCAAGAAGGAACTTTGGGTGAGTTAGAAAGTGCTGCAAGATCAGGGCCAAAGCGTGGTTTTAGTTTTATTTTCCTTCTTTACACACTTTAATAGTGTTTGAAACATATCACAACTGACCTTTGAAACAGTTTGGCCACAGAGTCATAAAATATACAGACTGAGATTTCTAATTGGCCCTTACAGTATTTGTTTTCTTGAAACAATAATAGCTTATTCCCAGGAAAACCTGTAATGGCTGAATATGTTTTTTTCCCAAATCATTTTATTGCATTTTACAAAGCATTGAAAACAACACAAACTAATAATCAAAAGAAATGATAAAGATTAAAAGGAAAATATGGGTAAAAGTGTGAAAAAGTATAAAGAAAAAGAAAAATACAAACATAGGCCAAGAATGACTTTCGACTTCTTCCAAGGATGTAGAGAACACTTAATATCAACTCTTACTTTAAGACTAGAAATAAAATGTCCCTTAACACCCCCCCCAATTTTTTTAAAGCAAGATATTCATCATTTAAAAATCAACAAAGGGAGTAAGAATAGAGAATATTATGTATTTACTTGATATAGATAACATAAGTACATGTTACAAATTTAATTTGTGAGAGACAAAAGTCCATTTCAATAGGCTGGTATACAAACTTACCCAGTATTACAGGAAAAGTTTATGACACTCAAGTAATTGAGGTCATCGACATATATCGCTCCATCATTCAAGGGTCCAGGATAGGGACATTTCTTGGCTGTTTAATATATATAAATATATATATGTATACATAGATTAATATTTAATTGGGGAAGAGACAAATAGATACACTGTAAACATGAAGCAATCACCAAGTTAAATCAATTCATTTCAATGGATGGATGGATAGATTATTAACAATAGATCATTTTCTGCTTGATGAACTAAGACAGTGGTTCTCAACCTTTCTAATGCCGCGACCCCATAATACAGTTCCCCATGTTGTGGTGACCCCCAACCACTTATACATCACCGGTGCCAGGGGCGTGGCCAAAGAAAAGGGGGGAAAAATGGCGGACAGCCTTGTTTGGCGATCCCCGTGAAATGATCGTTTGACCCCAAATGGGGTCCCGACCCACAGGTTGAGAACCACTGAACTAAGACAATAAACCCATAAGCATAATAGCAGAATTAACCTGCTTGCACTCAAGAATAATGGTGTTCCAGTCACAACAGGCCAGAAAGGATGAGATCTGTGGAGATCAAGTAATTGAGGCTTTTTCTCAGGCTAAATTCTTCTGCAGAAAGTCAGTGCTGGGAAGCAGATGCCATAGGAGTAATTTAAATTCTTAGTACCAACATTTCTTTGAACACATTTGTCCCTAAGAAAAAGGTCTAATATCATATAAGCTTCAAGAAGCCACACCATTCAGAATAGTTCACCTTCATCTGTTTTTGCCTAATGTATTCTATATTATTTGCCCTTTTAAACATGATTTGAGATTTGTTTAAATAACTAAGAGTTAAAAGAAACCAATAATTACAGCTTTTCTCACCAGAGCAAGAAAAGCGTTTACTGATGTTTCCATCTATTTTGCATTATCAAAAGGATTCGTTGGGAATTTTTTTTTCAAAAGAAAGGAAATAATGATGCAGACTAGTGAGGAAGCCATTGCAAATAGAGCCCAAGGGTAGGTTCCAACTTAGAAGTCAAAGCAATTGGGGATTAATTTTATGTACCCATGGTGATGATTATCCTAATATGATTGCTTGATCTGAAGATGTACACAGATCTCTTTAACAGAAGAACTCCTACCGTTTTCAATGCCTGCTCTTCTTGCTTGCCATAAGTGCCAGGGGTGATCTGGGTAAATAAAGGAGGGGCAACTCTAATCCTCCTACTAGGAAGAGTGAATCAATCATTTTAGGCTGCACAATTCACACCTTATGAAAAGGCAATAAAAGTTTTTAATTTGACTCTTTTTTTCCTTGTAATAATTTTTATCTTCCAAAAGAAGAGAGTTGTTTGTAGGATTTTCGTCCATGGATGCCTGAATAAAATGACTTACTTTAGATACTGACCCTGTCTAACAAGATACTTCAACCTAATCAGGGAATAAGACAGCATCACCACCATATGGATCTGTAGCTGGCTGACCGACTGTACTCAGCATGTGGTTCTCAATGGAACTGCATCTACATGGAGGGACGTGTGTAGTGGGGTGCCCCAGGGCTCTGTTCTGGGCTCAGTGCTCTTCAACATCTTTATCAATGATTTGGACGAGGGGATAGATGGGGAAATCATCAAATTTGCAGACGATACAAGCTTGCAGGAATAGCCAACACTCCAGAAGACAGGCTTAGGATACAGGAGGATCTGGACAGACTTGAACACTAGCCGCTATCTAACAAAATGAAAATCAGTGGTGAAAAAAGTAAGGTTCTACATTTAGGCAAGAAAAACCAAATGTACAGGTATAGTATAGGGGGTACCTTGCTCAATAGTAGTAACTGTGAAAGGGACCTTGGAATCCTAGTGGACAATCACTTAAATATGAGCCAGCAGTGTGCTGCAGCTGCCAAAAAGGCCAACACAGTGCTGGGCTGCATTAACAGAGGGATGGAATCAAGATCACGTGAAGTATTAATACCACTTTACAATGCCTTGGTCAGGCCACACTTGGAATACTGCATTCAGGTTTGGTCACCACAATGTAAAAAAGATGTTGAAAGAGTACAGAGAAGAGCAACAAAGATGATTAGGGGACTGGAGGCTAAAGCATATAAGGAAAGGCTGCTGGACGAGGGGAGACATGATAGCAGTATTCCAATATCTCAGGGGCTGCCACAAAGAAGAGGGAGTCAAGCTATTTTCCAAGGCACCTGAAGGCAGGACAAGAAGCAACAGATGGAAACTAATCAAGGAGAGAAATAACCTAGAACCAAGGAGAAACTTTCTGACAGTTAGAACAATTAACCAGTGGAAAAACCTGCCTCCAGAAGTGGTGAATGCTCCAACACTGGAAATTTTTAAGAAGAGACTGGACAGCCATTTGTCTGAAATGGTATAGGATTTCCTGCCTGAGCAGGGGGTTGGACTAGAAGACCTCCAAAATGCCTTCCAACTTTATTATTATTATTATTATTATTATTATCGATCATCGCACAGTCAGACAGATGTTCACACTGGATTTGGCATTTTGTCTACCTATCGAGTCCTTACCCAGGACCTGGGATAGGCAGATGTGAATGTTTGATGGTATTACAGATATCGTCGCAGGATGGAAGCAGTTCCTAATAAGGCCGCCTTTTGCAATTGACTAATAGCGAATTTGTCAATGCCAATGGTGTTCAAGTGGTGCTCCAGTTGTTTTGGGATTGCACCCAAGGAGCCTATGACTATTGGTACTACCCTTGCTTGCTTTTGCCACAGTCTTTCTATTTCTATTTGTAGGTCTTTGTATTTTGTTATCTTCTCCAGTTCTTTCTCTTCTATTCTGCTATCTCCAGGCACTGCCACGTCCACTATCCAGACTTTTTTGTCTTTCTTATCGACAATTGTTAAGTCTGGGGTGTTATGTTGCAGGTGCTTGTCTGTTTGAATTCTGAAGTCCCAAAGCAGTTTAATTTTATCATTTTCTATGACTTTCTCTATTTTATGATCCCACCAGTTTTTGCTTACAGGCAAATGATATTTTTTGCAGATCTTCCAATGCACCATTGTTGCTACTTTGTCATGCCGCTGCTTGTAATCAGTCTGTGCAATCTTCTTGCAACAGCTTACCAAGTGGTCCACTGTTTCTTCAGCTTCTTTGCATAGGCGGCACTTACTGTCTGTTGCTGTCTTCTCAATTTTGATTTTGTATGCATTTGTCCTTAAGGCTTGGTCTTGTGCAGCCAGAATTAGTCCCTCGGTCTCTTTCTTCAATTTTCCTGCTCTTAGCCATTGCCAGGTTTTATTATTATCTGCTTTCCCAGCTATTTTTTTCATGTATTGGCCATGTAGTGCTTTGTCTTCCCATGCCTCTATTCTGTTCTTCATTTGGTCTTTCTTGTAGGCCAGTTTGGTCTCTCCAGTAGTTAGTAAGCCTTCCTGATATACTAACTTCAGTGCATCTTCATCATTGTTCTTCAGATATTCTTCCAAAGCCATTTTTTCTTCTTCAACCATCTGATATACTTGTAGCATTCCACGCCCACCTATTTGCATTATTATTATTATTATTATTATTATTATTATTATTTAGTCAGATCTCCGTCCTGGTGGCTTTGACAGTGCAATCCCATTAAATAAGTAAAAAACAAATTGCCATTTTGAAAATATGGGATGTACATCACTGGCAGCTAAAATCATAAGACTACATCTGATTTACTTTGGCCATGTTATGTGTACAAATTCATTGGAAAAGGCAAGGATACTAGGAATGGTTAGTGGACAAAGAAGAAGGAGCAAGCAAAGAATCCACTGGCTTGATAGCATCAAATTTAATGGAAAGTTGAACAGCCAACAGTTGAAAGAAGCTCTGCTTGACAGAGTAGCATTGTAGAGCACTTGCCTATAAAACCAAGAGTTGGACACAACTAAATGGTTAAAAACAAAACAGCCAACTTTTCCAAGAAGTTTCTAATATCACTGAATCCTTGTTCAGGATACTATTGGTAAAACTCTACTACATTGCTGAGACTTTCTGTATTGATTAGGTGTATTTGGGACTGCTATCACAGAGGCATGTTTGAAATTGCCAGGTCTTAGTCAAAAGCAGTGAAATGGACACACACACACACAAACTCTGCAGGTCCAGAGATGATTCAAATCTTCCTTGCAAGCACTTGCCATCCTCTGCAGAGGACCGTTTAGGGGTTTACTAATCAATGTGGTATAGACTTCAGTCACAAGATCCAATCCTTGATGCATAGAGTCATGGTGGCACAGTGGTTAGAATGCAGTATTGCAGGCTAACTCTGCATTCCACAGCCTGGAGTTTGATTCTGACAGGCTCAAGGTTGACTCAGCCTTCCATCCTTCCGAGATTGGTAAAATTGTAACCCAGATTGTTGAGGGCAATAGGCTGACATTGCAAACTTCCCAAAGAGTGCTGTAAAGCACTATGAAGCAATGTATAAGTTTAAGAGCTATTGCTATTGTTATTGTCTACATGTGTGTGCCTTCAAGTCATCATTGATTCCTAGTGACTGCATAGACTAGTAATTTTCTGGGTAAGATTTTGGAAATGATTTAGCACTGTCTTCTTCCTAGGGGTGAGAGAGAGTAACTGACCCAAAATTATCCATCTGGCTTTGTGCCTAAGGCGGAACTAGAACTCACAGTCTCCCATTTCTAACCGGGTGCACCAAACTAGCTCTTTTAAGATTGATCTGCAGAAAAAAAAAATCCTTAAAACTTTGGCACATTGATACACTTTTACTTCAAGAATATGATCCCATTCTCATGATTTTGCCGAGGAGAAAAAAAAATCTCATGATTTTGCTAAGGACAGGGGATAGAGGGGTGAGCCATAGAAATTTGGAAGATTCAAATATTATGTTTGAAAAGTTAAGAAACATTTCATAGAAAATAGAACAAACTGAAAATAGCGAATAGGTTTTTATTAAAAGAAAAGCAAGAATATTGATTTGTGTGGAAAAAGCAAAAAAAAAAGGCAAACTACTTACGTATACATCTGAATGTAATGGTAGGCCATACACCAGATGAAGGACATATATATCTCCTTGAGCCATACTGGGGAACATAACCTGGGTTACACTGATATACAATGTCTTCTCCAGGCCAGTATCCTGCTTTATTTGTGTTGGTGGTAGCCAGAGGTATTTCCGGAGGCCTTGGACAAACTAGAAGACATTAAGCACTAACAAGTCATATATGAAAACATTTGTTGGTACATGAAACAGTAGTCTTGCGTGGTCCTGGAGCAATAATATTTTTTATTTGGTTGTTTGTTTATTTGGTTGGTTGGTTATTTATTTATTTAAATTTAATTGTCATCTATTTCATTTCAATCTAATATAAACAGTCAATGAGTATATTTTGTGTTTTCACAGATGAGACCAAAGGTTATGTGAATGCAACATAAATTCTTTATTTCTTAAAAAAAAATAAAGTTTAGTATAAGGTAAAATACAAATAGGAGACAAAAGAAAAAGAAAGGAAAAGGAAAAGCACAGAGAAAAAGAAAGAAAAAGAAAGAAAGCAGTGGGGTTTTTTTCAGCTGCAGTAGAGCCTCAACCTTACGTTTCTAGTTAATTCTGTAGGAAGTCAGTCCCCCCCCCAGAAAAAGAAATGTTTTTGGAAATATTTAAAAAATCCTTTCCCTAAAGGATTTAAAGGCAGAAACCAATCCCCCCTCCAAGTATCTCTGTCTCAAACAGAAACCAGGTCTGCAAAAATGCAGATGTGATAATCTTGTCAGAAAGACTGGGAATCAGGAAGCTGGGATTAGGAAGAAAGATCCCTAAAATCAACAACCCCTCACACCAAAAATCTAAGAGTCATCAGCCACAGCTCCAGGGAAGCAGGATATGGCATTTGGGACATAATAGGATCAACCCACCATCATCAGTCTACCAGAAAGGCACACTCAGACTCAGGTCAAAGTTCATGCCAAAAGAACAACTCCAAACAAAAGGCTCCAGAGGGTATAAAAACCCACTCCTTACATGTGCTCATTCTCTCTTTTCTTCCAGAGCCATCTTTCTATCTGGCTCTCCTCTTCAATAAATTGCAACCTTCTTCCTAAAGCAGTTGCCATGTTGTTTATTCCCGGATTGGACTGAACCATGATGAAGACTTTTCCTTCAACTATTCAAACCATTTCTATAACAACAAAATCAATCTAATCATCAAACCCTAGTAAGATAAATTCTTTAGACAACAACTGTATATCAGAGTTTCGAGGAATGGAATCAAGACCCATCAATCTTCATTTGCTTTCTTTTTTAAAGAATAAGATATAAGATAATGAAACACAAAAGGAAAGAAAGATAAGATAGAACAGGAACAACTAACTACGAAAAATGAGAGCTTTTTGTGGCTACAGAGTAAGAAATAATTTTGTAATTATACTTGCATATTCTGAAAAGAAAATTGGAAGCTCCTTTCTATTTCTTTTTATTTTTCTTATTGCACATTTTGCATATATAGATCTATATTACGGGCTTTAAATTCTAGCCACTTTTTTAGTTCTGACTGTCCTAATGAACAGATATTTTGCCAGTCTCTTCAAGGAGATGGGAGGCAGTTTTGATGTTCGGACAGAATTGTTCACTCAAGCTGGAAAAATTGTCTTGCCAAATGTTCCTACCTTGCCAACTTCATTTCTAAAGTTATCCATGGAATTTGGTAGCATAATTTGTGACAAAATTTGGGAAAGAGATGACCTATCAAAATCTGGTAGTAATTTGATTTTTTTTCCCAAACCAATTTTTTGAAAGCATTATGTTTAATTTCTGTAAATGTTCATTTGTTTAATATTGGTTTTGTAATTTATTATTATTATTTTTGGTTGGCTTTGCTATTTTTTTCCTGGTTCTCCTTCCCTTGGGAGGGTGTGGGGAAAGAGATGCTGGCCTTGCACAATTGTGTTGTGTTCAGATTTCCGCTCATATAGGTCACCTTAACTACAATGTTTGCCCTCTGAATACTTTTAATACCCCTCCCCCTCATCAAGGTCCTACATTCCTGCTATGCTTCAAGCATGAGTTCACAAATTTAGATGAAACAATTTGACCTGGTAATTAAACCCTACAGTACAATTCATAAAGTCCCTAGCTGAAAATTCTCTATAACATTTCAAGCAATTTGCTTATTAATAACTGGAGAACGATCACCCAGAATATTTTTATCTTTGAGATATGTAACAGTAATGTAATATAGCATTAATCATGTATACTTTGGGGTATATTTTTTGTTTTTATTTCTTCAGCTGACAACTTGTCTTTCTACTCTGGTGAGAGAGATGATATTTTTAATTTTAAAAATGCAACTAAAACAGTTAATAAAAAATTAAAACTTAGATTAAATTTAGTCTTTTATTTAACCATTTCCTAAACTAGGTAACATTGTCAGTGCTAGTCTGACTAGCATTGATAATGTTATCTAGTTTGGATAATGAAAGTCTACAAGAAAACAACCAAGCTCAGAAAGCACCCCTCATTTAAACTCTGAGCTACAAACATTCTCTTTTATTTTATTTAACCTGTTAACCAATTTTGAAGATTTCATTAATGTTAAAATGGGTGCTAAACTAAGACTTAAACTAGAGATGTGAAAAAGACACACAAATATTTGCCTATGTTCAAAATACTCAACATATATATTGTATTGAAGAAAGAATCACAAGATACAGAATGGGGATAAAATTAGTCTCACTCAGTTCCCCATCAAAAAATGGCTCCTGGCTTACTAATTTGAGAAGGAGACTATTTGGGACATTATCAGCAAGAAAAGGGAAAAGGAGACAGTTCTTTTGCTATGGTCCCTATCTGGATCACTGAGCTATTTAGGAAATAATATAAAAAGAAGGAGCTGCATAGAAATGCCACCTAGTTTAACCTTCAGTCGGTTGATCAGATAATTTCTAGCAACATTTTAGTGTCATTTAGTGAGATATAAATCCCTGGAGGCAAATTGCAGGAGTAAGTTACAAAGTTTAATATCCCATTTTGCATGCTTTGGAAATATTCAGGAGGCAAATGGAGGGAAGCAAGTTTCCAGTGACTCTGCAGCAAAATGTGTGAATAGGACTCTAGATATGGTCAACAATTTGGTTTCATAAAAGGAGCATAAATGCATACATGCAAATTAACATGCATAGACACCATTTAAGAAAAATCTCATGCCACAATATACTGATCAATTTCCAAGAAATATAATATTTTCATCTTGTTAAAACAAAATACAAAAACACTTACCTTTACTCGCAAGAGCAACATGGGTTATTGCAACCAAGCATAAGCTAAACAGAACTGGAAACATGGCTGCAGATTTCCAAAACCTCAGAACAAATCCAAATGCAGTACTCTGCTTGCTAAGATAAATATCAAGCAATGCTAAATATTAACTCCCTACATTTGTTTATATTGTTAGCAACCAAAGATGGAGGGGGGAAAAGATTCCTGATACCACTGGGTAAATAAATTTCAAAGACTTGCACAACCTTTTGCAATTATTATGAAAGTTGAGATATAATTACAGTCTGAAGTTCTAATATGTTGGCAAATATTTTGCAACCCATAACTTTCATTTCTCAATCTTGATCAGATGTGGTGGCGAGAGAACAAGATGATCTTTGGATGATAGGAATTCAAAGAAATTATGTCAGAGATCGGTATGATCAGATGGCTAACAAGATTCAGGACTTCAGAATCAAGAAAGTCTATCTGCTCTCCAACCTTTCTAACTCTCTGGCATGAACCCCCCAAGCATACAACTCCAACCTTCTTTGGAAACCACTGCTTGAAATTATTCAAGAAGCAATGCCCAAACTGGCAATAATCATTCAACAGTGAGACTGGTGGCATATAAATATAATAGATAGATAGATGATAGATAGATCAGTGGTTCTCAACCTGTGAGTCGGGACCCCATTTGGGGTCGAATGACCATTTCACAGGGGTCACCAAACAACGCAGTCCACCATTTCCCCCCCCCTTTTCCTTAGCTGTGCTACTCCCTTTTGTTCTGTTGGCTTTTGAAAGCCAATAGAATAGACTCTCTTGAATAGAGTCTAATTCTATTGGCTTTCAAAAGCCAATAGGAATTGTCCAGGCTGTCTCTGCCCTGCTGAGTCCACCAAAAGTCCCATTCTTCAAACAGTGCTGCACCAGTTGGGTAGTCCTCGACTTACGACCGGTTGAGTAGTCCTCTACTTACGACCGGTTGGGGTTGTGGCATTAAAAAGGTTGAGAACCACTGAGATAGATAGATAGATAGATAGATAGATAGATAGATAGATAGATAGATAGATAGATAGATAGATAGATAGATAGATAGATAGACAGCCAGACAGACAGACAGACATCTGATTACAAACTAGGTCTCATCGCACACAAGCTCAGTGGCCATTCATAAGCATTGCTAGAAAAGATAGACAGTGATTTGAGGAATCTCCTCTGCAAACGTTTCCTTGAAGAGTGCTCTGATGGAAATTAGATCTGATTCAGTATTAAATTCTACTATTAAAGAAAGTAAAGGTTTCCCCTATCTACTCGTGTTAGACTCTAGGGGCCAGTCCCATCTTGTTTCTTAGCCGAGGGAGCCAGTGTTTTCTGAATATTATTTCCATGGTTATGTGGCCAGCATGACTATACACCAAGGTGCACTGAACACAGTTACTTTCTGTTATAGAATTTTAATTTCTCTATTGGTGAAAAATAAATCAGAAGCTCTCACAGTTGACTGCATTTAGCTGATTCAAAATAACTTCTTTATATTTATATAAAATATTTACAATACCATACATTCTTCTTTACAGTAACATAGCACAAATGAAGACTTCTTCCAGAGAGATACAGAGACAAAACTGAGACTGGAAATCCAGCTTCTAATTCAATACCCTTTTGCACAGACTCAGTAGCACTTTCTTCACATTGGCTGACTGAGTTACCACATGACTCTTCCTGCTCATGAATATTCCAACACTCCTCCCTTCATGACAGGAAGAGACATCAGACCTATTGACTTTAACACATTCTCCATAGTGAACACTACCCAATGGTTTAGTCATCATGTCTGCCAAATTATCCTCAGAAGAACAATGATGTAAACTAATCAATTTTCCTTTTACAGCTTCCCTGACATTACAATACTTAATGTCTACATGTTTACTTCTGTTCTTCACCCTGTCACCAGTTGCCATTTTTATACAGGCAGCATTGTCTTCAAATACCTTTACAGATTATTTTATATTAATATTTAAATCTTGCAACAACTGTACATCATTATTTGGCAATACCTTTTTCTTATATACCCACTTACAACCCACAGCTTTGGTTCCCTGTGACAAAGTCACTGATTTAAACACTTCATGGTCTCCTATAGATTTCATCTCTTTATCCATGGCCTCCTTCCATCTTTCTTGTTCAGCTTTTGGTAATGCCAACACTTCTTTATAACTTCTTCGCTCATACCACACATTGCAAACCTTTACTTTGCTGGCAGAATACCTGTCAGGAGGAATTCCTTTATTACATCGCTCTGACCTACGTGGTATTAACTGCTCCTGTGTCTCAAGTCTATCTGGCTTCATGTCTTGTTCAGCCTCTTCTCCCTGAACATTGACATCTTCAATAATCATTTTTTATCATTAGATGTTATTGTCATTAAATAGATCACTGTCATTAAGTGAGACATACCCAGAATTTGCATTAATTCTGTCCCAATTTTGTTCTGCAAAATTAGCAGATCTTGAAATTACAATTCTTTTACTTCCATCGCTAAAGCAATACCTGTTTGACCCTGGCTCATAGCCCACAAACCTAAGCTTTCTTGCCTTTTGCTGTCCCTTTCTTCCGATTGCTTTCAGAATATGTACCCATGCAGTACTTCCAAAAATTCTCAAATGTGCCAGTGATGGCTTTCTCCCATATACAATGGCATATGGAGTATTATTAATGGAGGAACTCTACAGCCTGTTAACTATATAATTGGCAGTCAATATGGCTTCTCCCCAATATGATCTGCTCATACCAGAATCCTCTAATAATGAATCTTTCATTGTTTGCAAAACACCATTCCTTCTTTCAGCTATACCGTTCTCTGCTGCTGTGTAAGGATTTGTACCTCTGTGTCTTATCCCCAACTGCCCCAACCATTGTTGGAATTTAGTTGACATAAATTCAGTACCTCTGTCAGTTTGCAACTGACACACTTGTTGTCTGCACCTTCTCTCTACAAAACTTACCCACTGTTTGAATTGTTGTAGCACCTCTGTCTTTGCTCTAAGCAAGTAGCAAAACGAATTCCTGCTATAATCATCAACAATTACCAGTGCATATTTTGCTCCTCTCAAATTGGCTTGCATAGGTCCCACCAGATCTGCATGGACCAGCTCTAGAACTCTTTTTGTTTGTCTTGTGCTACATTTACTAACTGGGAATGCCTTTGACTTCGATGCTTTGCATACTGCACAGTCCAAATATGTTTTGCATCCCTTCAAATTTAGCCCTTCTGCAAGCTTTTGCATTTGCTGCAAAACTTTAAAGCTTGCATGGCCAAGTCTTCTATGTAGAAGATGAACAGATGAATCATGCTCTGCAACATTCTTAAATATATGGGAACATTGAACCTTTTGTCTCTACAATACATATAGATCATCTTCCTTTATGCCTTCTGCACAAATATTCCCATTCCTTTTGATGAGACACTTCCCATTTACAAAAATGATCTCAAAGCCTTGTTTGTCTAAATTAGACAAACTTAATAAATTATGCTCCATCTCAGGTACACAAAGCACATTGGTAAACTTTGATTCCAAATATGGAATTTTTACATCGCCTCTTCCGATGACTTTTGCTTTCTGGCCATTTGCCAAAGCCACAGCTTCTTGTGCTACTGGAACAAACCTGCAAAATAATTCAGAGTCATTAATTGTTTGACTTGCCCCACTATCTATTAGCCACTTGTCTCTGTTGTTACTACAGGAAACTTTTGCAACACCAAAATGTTCCTTTTGCAAATCAGTTCTTTTTCCTTGCACAAATGTCCTTCCCTGCAAACAGTTCCTCTGCAAACAGTTCTTTTTCAGGTGTGTCTTTGCTCCACAAATGTAGCAATTCTTTTCTTGCTGAGCTCTCTGCTTGCAAAATGTTTCTTTTTTGGAGACTTGCAGCCTGGACCCCCTCCACAGGAATTTCACCTCCTCTTGGCTGCTTCTAAAATGGCGCTTTTTTCCTTCATTAAGCAAACATGCCTTTAAAGCCTCAAAATTTAAGTCTTGCTCTTCTTTACAGTCAAATATTGCAGAAACTGTGTCCCAGGTTTTATCTAAACTGTTCAACACCAATAAAACCTTCTGGGACTCAGGGAATTTAATCCCACATTGTTCTAAGTCCAAAAATAAACTTTGCATTTTATTTAAATGCTGTTCCACAGATTCACCTGGTTGCAAACAGGCCCTGTAAAGTTTTCTTGACAATTGCACTATATTGCATGTAGAAACATTCACGTGCACAGTTCTCAACTTCAACCAAATCTCCTTTGCAGTCTTTAAATTTGCAATATTTAGAAATTGTTCCATCATCTAAATTCAAGATGAGATAAGCCATTGCTTGATCATGATTCTTCTGATCAGCAGCTGCAAATACTTGTGGTGGATTTTCTACAATATACCACAGCTCTTTAGCTTTCAGCAAACATTCCCTTTTTTTCAGCCCATATAATGTAATTCTTCTGGCCTAAACGAGGCACAGAGCTTTCCTTAAATTCCATTGCAGCCATTCTGCTAATTCTGCCTTGTTCTTATACTTTCTAAACACAGGCAATTTCTTCCAGCTTTAAATTACAATGCAGTCCTTAGTAAGCTCTGGGTCCATAACCTGTGAGAGAATTTTAATTTCTCTATTGGTGAAAAATAAATCAGAAGCTCTCACAGTTGACTGCATTTAGCTGATTCAAAATAACTTCTTTATATTTATATCAAAATATTTACAATACCATATATTCTTCTTTACAGCAACATAGCTCAATTGAAGACTTCTACACAGAGATACAGAGACAGACCTGAGACTGGAAATCCAGCTCCTAACTCAATACCTTTTGCACAGACTCAGTAGCACTTTCTTCACATTGGCTGACTGAGTTACCACATGACTCTTCTTGTTCATGAATATTCCAACACTTTCTCACCAAGTGGTGCCTATTTATCTACTTGCATTTGCATGCTTTCAAACTGGTAGGTTGGCAAAAGATAGGGCAAGTAATGGGAGCTCACCTCATCACTGGTGTTTAGGTCTTGAACCCAGGCTGTCTGCTTTCCAGATGATAAGCTCAGACTCTTTAACTGTGGAGTAATTATCCCCCTCATCAAGCTCTACTATTAAGTCATCTTAAATCGATCAAAATACATAAGT